AATACAGAAAAACTCTCCGCGATCAAAGGCGTGAAATTAAAAGCATATTCCCGATGATTTGACGCATTTTAAATTATTATAATGGTTCGTTCGGCGAGATAATTTGAATATATGAAATATCTTTGAAGTTGTGCTGCTGAGATCTGCATTACGGCACGTTCCGTCGTCGGTAGCGGCATGTTCGGAATTCACCAACCACGTGTCGGGATATTTGTAACGATACCGAAAACTAAATAACTAAATATAGAAAACGGAATTTCGTTGGATATGAATCGCTTATTCATACGGCTTAGTGTGTTTATCAAAACAGTGATTAAATGCGCTCTCACATAACTATTATGACTTTAATTTGAACGGATTTTATTCAAGAATTCCTTCTTGAAATTTCATATAATTGGAAACAACTGTTAAGTTTATATATCATTTGTAAATATAGATATATAGGGTGGCCCAGAACTCAACGTCAAGCTGAAACTGGATAATTGTATTGACCGCAACTGTCCTGAGAAAAAATAGAAAAAAATCATCTCGCTTCGTTCAGAAATTATAAGCTTTCAAGCGCAACCTAGAGCTTCGATAAAATTGAGACTTTTTTTTGGTTATTGGGGTTAAACATGAACCGTAACCGTGAATAGCATTTCTAGGACTACAGTAAAAAAACACAAGTTTGCAAGAGACCTTTTGTATTATTTTTTTTTTAAATCGGTTGATTTTAAGAAGCTCTCTCCTTTGCAAAAAATATACTAAAGTGTGTTGGTAAGTTTTATCAAATGTTGGCACATTTAATCAGGATTCTAAAATTCTTTAGTACATTAATAAAGAAAGTATATTGATTGGTCAAATTGGGTTTATATATGATTATAGGTTAATGAAAAATAATACTGCTGCCTGATAATCAAGTTTCATCGTCGAGCAAAGCGTCAATGAGTAACGTAAATATAAATAATTATCCATTACAAAATGGTTACCAAAAGATTTATTTAAACTAGAATGTTCTATTATCAAATAAATCTTCTCCATAATCATCGAGTTTGTGTTTCCATACATAATACAGTAGTAGAGAATTACGTAAATGCACAGTGGAAACCTCCCTAAAGACTGTTAAGACAATATTCGTAAGCATTTATTCATCCAAACATCTTTGATATAAGACAAAGAGCTACGCAGACTGCTCCTTTGTGTTCAACCTGTTCTTGTAAATGAAAAAGGGTCTTTGAAGTGGGTCGAATAATTAAGTGGCTCTCATATCAAAGTTAATACATCGCTGAAGTATTGCTGAAGACAACAAGTTTGTTCAAAATATCACGTTGCAAAAACAACAAGGATAAAGGAATCTAAAATCTTATCATTACATTATATTCATTTTTTAAATGTGAATTTAGTACCTTTTAGCATCTGTAATTATATATTAAAAAATCAAATCATAAAAATATATAATAATATAGAAGTATTGAGTAAAATTATGAATGATTTACAAAAAATGAAAGAGGTCTATTACAGGCCTGTTTCTTAAGACAGAGAACAATTAGTGGCACAGGCAGGCAATGTAATTATTCGAAAAGATAGTGTCGGCATCGGTAATTTCATTGATAAACATTGCAATTTATGATGTTGTCCGCAGCGTGTGCGTGCATGCCGCTTTAATCGCGAACAAGGCCCATCCACGCTACCGCGGAGACAAGCCTCATTCACCATAGTGGAAACCAACCTGTCTGGTCATATCACTATTTTTTTTTATTGAGGCAATAATAATGTTTTTAAAATTTATAAAATTTCTTTATTCTTTTCAACAAATATTTGAACTAGTCAATCAATAATAAAAGATAGTACAAAAAAAATCTAAGGAAAAACATTAGAAGCTGTAGACTGTAAACAAAGAAAATACATTAAAATACTGTAAGGTAGCTTCCATTAAACACATGATCAATTTTTTAAGGATTTTTGGTTTCCATCTCCCCCTTGGTGATACGTGGTGATATTTAAAATTACCGCCCCGCCACCGCAACCGAATATCACGTGCATTTTTAGATACAAAAAAATGTATTTTTTTATACTTTTTTGAAAATGTTTGATTTTTTTAAATAATTCGGGTAAAAAATAAATACACGAGATATTTTACTATACCTCTTTTTTCCCCACGTGATATTCCGTATATTTTTGTCAACTCCCCCCTTTTCCCTAAAAATCTCACGTGTTCAATAGACGCCCCCTAATAGTATTTAAAAAAAAATCTATTCGTGAACGATATGATTTCCAAATTTGTTTATAACAGCTTGATAAGGTTTTATTTGTAATATGCCTAAAATATAATATTCAAAAAAGTTTTTAATTGAAGTAATATAAAAACAAAGCTCTTAATACCTTTATATATATACAGTTGTTGCAGACTAGATCATGAGAAAAATCTAGTCTGAAATTATGACATCTAAAATATTTTTATAAATGATAACGTTTGTATTTATTTATATTGTATAGTCAGTTTGATGCCTTGAAGATTTCTTTTTAAAATGTTAGTCACCAAAGCTTTTGGAATCAGCTTTTTGTAGATTAATTATTTTTGTAGATTTGATACAGATAATTAAAAACTTAAGCCTTTTGACATTGCCTTGGGGGTATTCTAGTGTAGAGCGATGAATTTTATGTCATTTTTAAAGTGTAGTAAAAGAAAGCAATGAATGTTTTTACTATCAATTTTTTTAACACTTGTTTAATAATTTTATTAAAATACAAAACAAACATTAAAAAATAAAAAAGTTGAAAATTGTAACAACTGGCAGCTGATGAAGTGGGTGGTGTCAAAAAATTGGCACCTCAGTCTTGACATGATTTCAGCCCTCCTAGCCATCGAAAATGCAAAAAATAAAAAGATTATTAATTTACAATGATGTCAATGAGTAAAAAAAAAATTTCTTAGAAATTGGCGACTCTTTGAAAAAAAAAAGTTTTTTTAACTGTTTTTTTGAGTTTCTCGAATTTTTTAAAAATAGTAAAAATTGGAATTTGGGGATAATCCTAGTTCGGGCTATTGATAGGTCTATAAACCAGACTCTCTGAACATTTCAAGTGAATCGGTCAATTAAAACTCGAGAAATCGTGTCAACAGTACTGAAAAAGTCTGTTCTGAGAAAAACGCATTTAAAGTTTTGGGTGTAGCCAAACCATGGAGACCGAGTCAGTAAAATGACTATATCTCCGTAAATAATTCAAATTTTCAAAAACCTTCTCGTACCCATAATCTTAGATAATTAAATTTTGAAAATATGAAATAAAAAAAAAATCGATTTTTTTGAATTTCTACACTAGAATACCCTCTTAAAAGATTGAAATGTATTGAAATATGTATGTCTTTTACTAAGGGTTGGCGACACATGCTCGATGTTTCGATTCCATTTAAAGCGGTCATCATCAGAAGTCGGCTCGCTCTACGGACCCGCTTTGAATCTTATCGAACACTAAGATTGGCTAATGAACGCAATGCATTATAAATATATTTTAATTTAATGCCTTGTTCGAGGGGACACTAGTTACTTTAAAAGCCGAGTCTCTATACCGGTGGTCTAAACGTTTACGTGTCGAAGATAAATGTCTGCAATAAATATAATGCAGATCCGATTTAGTGACACCTGGCAGAAAATGAGAACATCGCCGTTTATACAAATAATACAAATTATAAATTATAATTTAACTTGTAAATAATATCCTTTGAAGAATCGAATTATCATTTATTTTACTCGGGATTCCTTTAATATATTTGTTATCAATACTACATTATTTATTGATAACAACAAACCCGTCAACAAATTTTTGCAATTTGTTGACTGGTCTTGAATAAATTACATTCGTAATATATTACGTCTTTCAAAAAAGAAGTTTATTATTAACATCGTTAATTTTTGTGATAATTATTCTAAGACACCACATCATTTGAAAGCATATTACAATTTCTTATTATTGGTTCATAAATACAAAGAAGTTAAAAATTAAAAATGCACAATGATAATTTGCTGACTAAGAAGAAAATATAACAGTATCGATGATATTTAAATATTAACCAACATGATCATTTATATACTTCACGTTCAGAAGGTAAATTTAAAATTAATTACGGTATAAGCCATGAGAACTTGTCTTGTTAGCATTTAAGTAGGGGTTTAAATATTTAAAAATAAGATTTCATTTATTAACTGCACATGTTTAATCTGGTTTTATATCTTAGACAATCAATTTTAAGGACGAATAGTTTTAGTTTTTTTATATTAAATTAATGTCGTCCATTAATATGAAGCAATATAATACTATACGTACTTTTTTGTCCATTTCTTCGATTATTTCTATATCAATTTCATGCTTAATCTATTGTGGAATGAGGCGGTTTAAAACGAATTTATGATAAACGCAATACATAATCATTATTAACTCATTTGCCATTAGATTAATAATTACTAAAATTCTTTTGGACTAAATTGCGTCAACAATTCAATAACAATAATTAATTGTTATTATTTTGATAGAAATACTCACTTATCACAAATCGCATTCCACAATTTATCATCAGAAACATTTGCGAACGATTATTACCAAATGGGATTACGATAAGTGTTATTGAAGTAATTTAACGTATCACGAAAATGAAATATGATATTGAATAACGGTATCATTTATAAACATATTTAGTTTCATTGTTGAAATTATTTGTCACCGGTGTCTTATTTCTTGGGTAATCTTCAATCTGCTAAAGTGGTAGTATTCTAGTAAATCTCGATAACAAGTGGGCTATTATTGTTTAATAGTTGATTTTAGAATAATAGACATTTTTGCTGGTCTTATTAAACAAGCACAAATGTAATATGCTTGTAATATGCTATGTAGTATTGATAGCTTCGATGCTGTTGTTAGCAAAATCGTTTTGATAAACCAAAAATTAATTGTCGTTAGAAAAAATAATGGTGACTTATTTTTTTAAATATAAACTGATATATATTTCATTATCCTTTAAACAGATATATCTCCCATGACATCCCGCAACTTTCCACCATCATTCTGGAACAGTCAGTATCAACCGCCTCCCGTAACGCTAGCGCCCGCTTCCCATGGCGATTTGTACGCGGCGGCGGCCGCAGCCGAGGGTTACGCAGCTCACCACGCGGCGGCCGCGCACCACTTACAACAACCTGATCCTTGGACGCAACATTACACGGCAGCCGCCCAATATCATCATCATCATCACCATCATCACCAGCGGGCGAGTGCGTTGCACGATTATCATCAAACGATGCAACAGCACCATCATATGGCTGGTGTGCAACATGCAGCTGTGCAGTATCCAGGGTTGCTGCTGCCGCAGAGGTTGCCGCAACAGTATGGTCATAGTTCGAGGTGAGAATTGAATTAGAGCGAGATTTGTTAAAATTGATATTTTTTCTATTTTGAGTTTCACAGTTAGAATATTAATAATAATTGATCGTAGTCACCATCATCCCACTTCGCACTTCGTATTTTTTGTTTAGCGTAGCTGTTTTTCCTTAACAATAACTAAAGTAATTATCAATATGCTTTCAAATGAATTTTTGTTCGCCTCACTATCGTATTAAAATCTTGGAATTTAATAATAATGAGCACTTTTAATGGGTGCGTTCTATTTATTTATATTTTTACACTCACTATAGTTATAAATTCCTCACCAGCATAACTAAAATTCCTTTATAAAATTTCCCAACAAAGTATTAAACCCGCAATAAAGTCATAACTACAATAAACTAGAATCATACCCATGCAATAAACTTGATTTCGAAAAATTTACATATAAATAATAAACTGAATGAAAGAATTTATATGGCATAAGCTCCTGTGTGCGCAATGACATGACGATTTAATTAAATTTGTTCATCATCATGGAAATATGTCATGCATGAATTTTCATTTGCATTTATTTCATTTTCCATAGACATATTAATTTCTATCTAATAGGTATTTCATTACATGCAAATATATGTTAATAGAAGTTCTCAATTAAATTCTCATTTGTAGGGTTATTACTGATGCTTTTACATATAAAAAAATAGATTTACATGAAAAGCTAAATTACGTATATTTAACAGTATCATTAGTAAAAACATTATTTATAAATTATTTATACATTAATTAGTAATTAATAATACATTATTTATAGTAATTGAGAAATTTGATCCATTTAATTTATATATTGTGAGCATGAAAAGCAAATGGTTTCGTCATAATCTGGTGTTATTATGAGTTGCAAAGTTCTCAAAATTAGTTAACTATTCGGAAAAACATTTATTAATAAATTTCAAACAATCAGAAACGTGAATTGTTACTAATAACGAATCAATTTTAAGCTTAAGTAACATTATTGATTATGAAAATATAATTCTAGACTCCACGAACAAGCTAGTACACATGCGCATGCATTGGAAACAGCAGGCTACCCAGGTTATCCTACTATGGCTGGTGAGTTTATTAAATATTGAACTATAAGTTTAGCATAATTTTTTCTAAATAAATTCTGGAATTACTTCACAGTAATTAAGAGAAAATCATCAGTTCGAAAAACGTTAGTTGCTCATTTCAAATAAACTAGCCTACTGCTCTGCCTAAATGGCACTTAGATTAGGATTAGTCTAATTTTAGCAAAAACTTTATTGCTACAGCTAAATTTATTATAGTTTATATATAGAGCAATTTCCTAATCTAATCAGAACATTTTAGCATAATATCCACGCATATATCGTGTACATACACAATTGACCAAAATAGAGATGATGAAATTTCGTGATTAAAGATAGTTAAGTAGTATCTTTGCTAAAAATCTTGATAAGTTGATGGCTAACGAAATGAAAGAATGCTGTTTCGTATAATTAAAAAGATAAACGGTCGTGTATCTGTACACATTGTATGCGACAAGTTTAATATGCATTTAGTTATCCAATTGCATACCTATATGAAAAAATGTTCTATGCTTTCGTTGCGTTGTTATAAAAACTGACCTCATGAAAGAAATATCGTCTGTTATTTTTTCAAAAATTAGATTGGCTTAGGTTAAGTCGTTATATTTGCTAATACAGGACTTTATTCGACTAGTGAGTGTAGCAGTTGATTTTTGCATCATATAATTTTGAATTACATATAATTGATTTTTGAATTACATATAATGATCAAACTTGATATCGTCGTATTATATGAAAACAAATCACAGTCGCCTTTACATTTCTCAGACACGCTCATTAATTCGTTTGCGGGACGATACGACAATTAAGTGAATAATTAAACTATGTCGGTATGCGAAGATCGCCCAAAATTTGTCCGACGTTTTGTAACAAATACTTCTCCGTGCGCGAAACCAGAATTCATGTATATCGTTTTAATTGGCAGTCTCCAATTTACTTGAAATTAAGAAAATCTAAAAGCCTGTCGTGCGTATTGGAGCGCTTCGAGAAATAATGCATGCTTTTTATTTTATTTAATTTTCGGCTCTTAAAACCGGTTGATTTTTATAGTTTTTTAATTATCGCATGGTATGATAAGGTTCACGATAAAATCATTTTAATGATTTATAAATGATATCAAAGCCGGTGTGAAATCCTGTCGGCAATCAGATCTTGAAGTGAACTACAAATGGATAAAAATAATTCAAGAAGGCATAAAAATGTTTTTTGTATGGTCCACGGCATATCAAGCAAGCCGGTTGATCGAAATCACTTTTAACGATTCTAAGTAGCCAACCGCTAAAATAGAAATGAAATGAAATCGCTAAGTTATGGTCCTATCTTCGTACGTTAGTAAAAACTGTCAAAAAGCTATGTATTTGCTGTGCGATCAGGCGTTTTATACATAAAACTTAACTTCACGTGTGTGTTTCAAGAATACATTAAAAAGAAGCACTTATAACGAAACTGTTACTTCACGTATGTGCGTTTCGTAGGTTAGATTAGTGAAACTCCTGATAACACAGCAAATACATACGTTTTGACAGCTTTTACTACCAATAGGAAAATAGGAACGTAACATAGCATTGCCGTAACATATCTATTTTATCGGAGAATGGGACCTTAAATCTAATTTCATTACAAAAGAGCCCAAAAATAAATAATAATGACAGATTTGAGATATCACTATTTTTGCGAAATAATATATATATATAAATATATATTTTATTTCATAGCAAGCTATACAAAGTACATTCAGCTACATTTGTTACAGTTATATATTTGACTGCGTGAGAAGGATCGCTAGCGATAGCGCCTTCATAGAATGTTATATGGATAAAATTAGTTATAGCCAATCACGAATCAAAATTGGGATTTTTCGAATGTACAACTACAAAACCTCGTCCAAGATTCCATTATTTCTCTAGTAGATTACTGCACATACAGCCTTCGACTTTGACTGACTTACTCCTGTATGTTTTTCGTGCCGTGAGGTGTAATATAGTTTAGAGAAAGGATTGCCTGCCCGGGCGTGGTTATCCGGCGGACACGATGGCCCGCCATTGGTCGCGAGGGACCGCCGCGGATCGATGTTCCGCTCGGACGACGCCGACAAGGGGAACGACGATGGGGTTGTAGGTACGGAACTCGTCAATGTGTATGAGAGATGGTCAAACTTTCTGTTAAATAAAAATAGAAAAGCTAAATAATTTTGAGCCTGATTAGATAATTTTTAGATATTCTACTTATTCCAATTCTCTAAAACTTTAGTGATGCCAAAGTACAAACTGGCTATGGAGAAGGGTCAGTATAGAGGAAGGTAAAGAGTTTACGTATCTGGGGTACCACTTTACAAAAAGTGGCAAAATGAAAGAGCATATCAAAAATCTGACTTTAGTGATGCCATTCTTATAATTCAACCCATACGTAGTTTTTTCCCGTATAATTACAATCTGCTTGGAAAAGAATTCAGTAATTTTGGTGACTGACAAGTTGTTCTTTTGAGACTTCTAGAGATGTCTGAGGAAAGCAAGTCTTTCGCAAGTTGATTCAGATGGTTTTACAATCTTGTCTTGTACTTGGATTGAAGTCTTGGTGGACCAGCCAATTTGGGACATACTTAGGTGTCTCTAATATTATTAACTTCCCGTAGGGTAAGTTATTGTAATGGGCCGTTTCTGAACATTTTGGCATACCTTTTTGGGTTTCTGAACATTTTGGCATACCTCAGAAAAAATGGATGTGTGTGTGTATATGTATGTATGAATACAAATTTCCAGTCACGATTTCGGGCGCACGGATCAACCGATTTGAATGGTTCAAAAAACATTCGATTCCTATTGATAGGGAGAAGAGCTGATTAGTTTTTGGCAAAGGCAGTTCCAGCCGTTACGGAGATACGGAGCAAGGAGTGCAGAAAATAGAAATCGAGTTTTTGAGTGAACGGAGCATCCGATTTGAATGATCTAAAAAACATTCAATTAGTAATGATTGGGAGAAGTGATTATTAGTTTTTGGCAATGGCAGGCCCAGCCATTTCGAAGATACAGAGCTAAATGTGCAAAAAATGGCAGTTTTTGAGAGAACTAAGCGTCCAATTTAAATGATTCAAAGAACTTTCTGCTTGTCTTAACAAAATATTTGATTTTAGATTTTTTTTTTTAGTTTTTTTTGTATATCGAAAATAATTCAAATTTTATTTTTATTCTGACTAAAGTTCTAATATAACTTAAACAATTAATTTTAAATTTGCAATTCATTTTATATATATATATATATATATATATATATATAAATATTAGACAATGTTACAATATTTTAATAATCTATTTGATAACATTCAGTATTCCTCAAACATTTCATTACGGTACGGGAAGTTCCAGCAATTTGCCTTAACGCACGATGCCATACACCCCACTAGTTTTAAAAAAATTATTTTGTGGCCTTTGCAAAATGTGTATGTTGGTTTAACTCGTCCATACGTATTTAATGTTTCAATTGACAACAATTAATTTTAGTTACAATTTTGATCGCTGATACCCAGAACAATCAGTCCTCGTCCCAGTCATTCACAGTTGTAAACAATTCAACCATTGTTCAGAATCTGCAATAACCTTGCAATTGGTGTGTCAGACATTCAGAACCAAAACGACATTCCTCTGGCAAGCTGTCATAGTCATCTTGTTCCAATAATAAGCCCGCCAAATATAAATAGCTTTGTATTAAATATAGAAGCAATAAAATTGACACTTAAATCGTTATAAAATGCTGAAAATGCCGCTGTGTGAATAAAAAAACATTAATTTTATTGTTTCTTGCTATTTAAATGAGTTGTGCTTGGAAAGATATACGAAGAGGATATTTTGTGACAGGTCTTTAAATTATATGTCTTATTTTCATAATAGCTGCCAAGAATAATAGAATAGTTATTAATCTTTTAAAGTAGAAGAAACAAAATAATAAATGTCATCATTAGTCACTGTATATTACCACAGTTTTATTATCTTTGAATCAGTATCATTATTAACTATAATGATTTTATTTAATAAACTATCATTCACTTTTCTAATCTTGAAAAATTATTTATATAAAGTGTTTAATAAAAAACTATCTTGTTTTCTATAATCGATAGTATGTTTCTGCGCAAGTCCTTGACAATTTAATGAAAATCCGCCATTCTCAAGAGTCAACCACCCTTGTATAACCACTACACACGTAAATTTGAATTGATATAATTGATCATAGAGATATAAGACACTTTAAAATAACAAACAAATTATTATAATACATAATATGCAGAAAGTAAACACTAAATATTATACACATATTACAGAGATAATGCATGAAATATATATATATACATATATATATATATATATATATATATATATATATATATATATATATTACAGAGATAATGCAAGAAAATTTGGTTTGTAAAAGTACATTTACAAAGTCATAATTGTCAATTCAAGTATTTTTCAAAAAATTCATAATTAACAATTACGCCTGCGTGAATGTTCTTCAACAGACTAAATTTTCTCTCAGTACCCCTTACATATATTCACACAATTTCAACTCCGTCTCTAATTTACAAACTTGAAAAGGAAAAGTTGTCTGTTTTACTTTTCTCCTCCATAAATGAACCCAAAAATAATTAAGAAAATATTAGAGTTTCGCTCTTGATAATAGGGTCGTAAGAGCTATATATTAAAAGCTCAGCGTGGAGCTTTTAACCCTAGTTCGAGTTCAACTTTAATATAAAATACTTGATGTCGGTGTAATTTGATTTTCAGACGGATAGACATTTCGGACAGATTTTTGCCCTGTAAACATTTAAATGAATATAATAAATATTTAATGAATTGTATGAATAATTGTTGTCATTAAAGTTACTGCGCCAATGATATTGGAAAATATTAATTGAAACGACTAACGGAGTTAAGTAGCAGTAAACAATAAAAATAGATTAATAATAATCTCAATTATTATCTATTTTATACTTAATCAATTGCATATATGTTA